CATTTGTAATAATATGAACAATAAGGATTTATTTAAAATAATTTAAAAAAGAAGAAAAAGAAATTCTAGAAAGAGCCTAGAGCAGTGGTCAGCAAACTAAGCTCGTGAGAAACATGCGGCTCTTTGACCCCTTGAGTTCTAGCAAGGCAGCTTAGGGGGTACCCTATTAAGTTAATAACAATGTGCCAATTTATATTAGTTTGAGTTTACAAAATTTGGCTCTCAAAAGAAATTTCAATCCTACTGTTGATATTTGGTTATGTTGACTAATGAGTTTGCCAACCAGGGCTAGAGAAAAAAAATCTACCACATTAAAATTTTGTGAAGAAAAGTTATGGGTGACTTTATCTTTCTAGTAAAAGCATAAGCTTTTGTTTAAGATTATAAATTACTCCTGTACTATAAACATAGATATTCATTTAAAAGTACACTACTCGAAGCCAATTTACTACTAGATAGAAGTGAACATTATTTTTTTTTAGTTTTAATTATTAAATAATATACCTCATTCTTTTTAAAATATGGCTTCTTACAAGAAATTTCTGCATTATTCTCCTAGATATCCCTCTTACTTGGTGTAGAGAAGGAGATAACACAGAAAGTGGAGAAACATCCTTGGGAGAAATTCTCTACAAATTCCTTTTTCCTTTCTTACCACAACTCATCTGAAAAGAATGGAAAATCAAAAACAAAACTAGAATTTCTTACCTTGATTCAGCTCTATGGACTGACTCCAGTTGCCAGTCTCATGGGAGGACAGCGCAGGACACAATAGACACATTGCCATCCGCCCAGTGGCACATGCTCTGGACAGTCACTGTGCCATTGCCCCAACCTTTGTGCTCAGGGACACAGTCTCCCGCTGGGGTCCAGGAGATCCAGGCAGCCGGCCTCCCCGCAGCTGCCTTGCACACCGCAGTTCTATTCTCGCTTTGAAACAGAGTCACCTCAGGGGCCACTGCAGGGATGAAGAAGTAAATGCTTAAGTCCTAACACATTAGACATGGAATTTAGAGAGGAATTCCTTTAAGTCCCAACTCTGGTTTTCTGAATCACCCCAATGTACAATGTTCCTTACCTAGCACTCGGAGGTGATAGTTATACTGGAAATTCCCATCAGGTGTTACCACTGCACACCTGTAATACCCCTCATGAGTGATGGCCACTGGGTCAATCTGAAGGGCAGGAATCTTGTCAGGTCTGTCGGGCCAGGTCATTCTCTTGTCAGTGCAGTTTGTTTCTATGGTCTCATTTGTGTCTCTCCTGTGGAATCTGATGCAGAGAGGCTTGTCTCCGAGGGTTATTTCCCATGTAGTTAAAAGCGAATTTGTCAACACGATAGGAGGGCAACAGAGGTTAGCCTTTGTATCCACCAGCACAGGCAGGGAAGTATTAGCTGGACACACACACACACAGAATAAAAAAGAAAAGCTTGGTAAGAACTTCATGTGTTATATTTTCTACATCATATTACATAAAGTTGTACTAGCCCATTACTTGGCTGGTGGCTTTATTCCAAAAATATGAGACTTAAAAAATTAAACATTCACAAGATGTATATAACATGTTATACCTAATTCAAAGATTAAGTCATTTTCTCCTATATTAGGTTATTAGGTAAACAGTGTATGTTACACGTGTGAGAAAATTTTTAAGTATTTTGAAATTAATTCAGAAGTTCCAATATCTATGAAAAAAAACAAGAAAATGCAATTCTCAACTAAAAGAGAAACACAATGAAACTTATACTTGGAGACTATTATATTTATTTTATACCTCATGTTCCTTGGGGTAGAAAATGAAGTAATTAGTGATGTGCTTGTATTCTTCTAAGTTTTATGAGAGATAATAAATCAGTAATATCACATTACTGAGTATTACTGAATGCCTATCCCTGAGGGTGACACTTCAGATAAAAATAAATATGAAAATGTTATAAAAAAAAAAATAACTAAGATGGCATTCGAGTTGAGCAAGTTAGAAATTTTTTAAGTTCTTTTTTTTTTGATAATCAAAAAGTCAGCAAATTCAACAAGCCCTTCCTTCTTGCCTTCCTTCCTTCCTTCCTTCCTTCCTTTCTTCCTTCCTTCCTTCCTTCCTTTCTTCCTTCCTTCCTTCCTTAATTCTAATTGTACATACTCCCAAAGAGATCAACTATAAAAATTTTTCACAGATTTTGTTGCCATAAGCTCTAATGAGGATTAAATATAGAAATTGACTCTTTTTGTTCATTTTTTTAAATTAAAAAGTCCTACAACCTACAAGTATTTTCCAACATGGAAGCTCACATTTTCCCCATAAGTTGACATAATGTATCCATGACTGGTAAGTGTTTGCTGAGAGGTGACTAGGTTTGCCTGTTACAGCTCACCTGTAACAGAAGTGTCAGGAATTTCATCACTTTAACATGAGCTGTGTGGTGTGGCAAAATTTTTATGAGTGAAACTTGCTTCTGCTAAACTCTGGTTAATCTCTCCTCTGTTGGTGTCACCTGCCTCTTCTGT